CTGGGCAAATCATTTAACCTCTCACCCTCAGTTTCCTTATACAATAATAGCACCTACAACACAGAGTTGTTGAGAGGATCAAATGAAATAGCATGTGTAAAATACTTTGTAAACCTTAAAATGCTACATAAGTGCTAGCTATTGTTAATAGTTCATGTTATTATCTATAGAAGGTGAGGTCCTCCAAATGCCTGTTTGTGGATGGCATGGTGCTAGTCACATCAAGCCCTAGAACATTTCGGAACTTCCTAGAAGAAGTCTATAATCAGTCAAAAAAGTTTGACCTGATCACCTACAAGGAAAAACCAATTGGATGAAGAGTGGATTAAGAAATGCATTTGGATAGTCCACCAGTATTAATATAGGGGAAAGACTATACAACTGGACAAGAAGTTGGGCCCATATTTGGACAGGAAGAAGAGAGAAGGCTGGATTGTTTGGGGGAAATTATAAAGCTCCTTTAATGACCTCAAACTTACTGTGAAAACAAAGGCCCCATCTTTTAAATGCCAATAACCGAGCAATACTATGGTTGGACAGCAAGATGTGTAATATAACAATCACCAAATAATTAAAAATTAATATCTCACAGAAGACCATGGAGAAACACAGTGGAGGCATGAGCCACCTGCAACATACAAGCAATAAAGAACTTCAAAGAAGAATTAAACTAAAGGATATCATCAAGGAAATTGATGATAGGAAGAAAAGCTGGGTTGTCAAATGGCAAGGATGAGGGTTGACAGGAGGATAGCTAGAACCTTACAATGTGAGGAGAAAGTGAAGAAAGCTTCCAGCACATGGAGTGGATCCTCTATGATGAACTTATGGGAGAACCTGGATGAAAACTGCATGGGATGAGCAGGAGTGGATGGATTGTGATCTTCATCACTGGAGAGATTTTGCAAATAAATGAGATAAGAAATCCATGAAAGTATTTTAGTATTGATGCATAGGAAGGAAGGGAGGGAGGAGGGAGGGAGGGAAAGAGAGGAGGGAAGGAAGATAGGAAGAAAGGAAGGAAGGAAAGAAGGAAGGAAGGAAGGGAGGAAGGGAAGGAAGGAAGGAAGGAAGGAAAGAAGGAAGGAAGGAAGGAAGGAAGGAAAGAAGGAAGGAAGGAAGGACCTATTATTAAGCACCTATGTGCCAGGACCTATGCTAAACACTTTGCAAATATTATCTCATTGATTCTCACAATAACCCTGAGAAGAAAGAACTATTTTGATGCCATTTTATAGTTGATGAAGCTGAAGCAGACAGAGGTTAAGTGACTCGTCCAAGGTCACATAGCTAGTATTTGAAGCCACATTTGAACTCAGGCTTTCCTGACTTCAAGTCCAATGCTTTGTCCACTGTTATATATGTTATATATAGCAAAATAGAGCAAATTCATGGAATATTAAAGGTAAAATCTTTGAAAAGATAAAAACAAGAGTAATTTTTGCGTCAAGTAAAATTCAAAAACATATACTCTTTCACCCATGTAATTGCTCATGAGTAACTCCAACTGACTACATAATTGGCAGGCCCACATCATTGCAGCTGAACCAACTGACTGTACTTTAGGATTTTTTTTTTACACACTAAAGAATTTTCAGCTTTTATTTTCCTATTTCATCACACCATCACTGCTTGCTAATATTTGTCTCTTTTCCTTCTTTTTATCTTTTATCTTTTAAAAATTTTTAAAAAATATTTGAAGTTCTCTGCTTTCCTTCCTTCTGCACTGATGTTCATGGGTGCCAGGCAGAGAATAACTCAGAGATGACAACACTTCTGCCCTTTTGTTAGCACTGCTCCAGCAATCACAGATAAAGCCCTGGAATCCATCAGATACTAGGCAGGTGCCAACTTTGTCCTTTTACCTTTTAACTTTACCCAAAGTTCTGAAAATGTCCCAACTTTAAGTCAAAGTTCTAACTATGTCTTCTGATAAATCTCAAGGATATGATGACATCCTTTAATCTTTAGATTAAAGATCTTTGAACAGAAACTCACTACTAAGAAAAGACCACAACATTTCTACAATTATTTTCATCTTTGGGAAGGAAGGGAGAACAACTAAGAATACACAGTCACAGAATGTTAAAGCTGGAATGGACTTTAGAGACTCTAAATCCAACTCACTTGTATTAGAGATGAGGAAACAAAAGTTCAAAGAAGCTACCTGAATTATTTCCCAAAGGTCACATAGGTAGCTAAGTAGCTTAAATCCATCATGCCATCTCTTTGCTTTCCACACTGACAAGACGTTGGCCAGGATTCTCCAGTATCAGCAGCTAAACAACCCAGCCAATCCAGCATTCCCAGAATGCAGTACTCCTTTAGATCAGAAGGGAGTACAGTATTCATGATAGCTACAGCCCATAAGTTATGGGAAAGGTCAGTCGGTCAGCAACGATTTATTAAATACTTACTATGTGCCAGGCACTGTAATAAGAACTAGAAAGGTACAAGAAATAGCATCAAGATTTCTCCTAGATTCTAACAAAGTAAAGCATCTCCCACTAATATTATGGAGAAGATGGAGAGATGTGGAATCAATTATAATAAAAGTAGATGGATTCTGAGTTGGTTGGATGGTTGGACTCAAAGAATCATTAATCATTCAATGTCAACATGGCAGGAAATTTCTAGTGGAGAACTCAATGGTTCTGTACTTGGCTGGCACTGTGCCATTTACTAATATTATCAGTTATACTCAGATAAAAGCGTAGATTCATTAACTTGGTAAATGATGCCAGTCTTGGAGGGGTAGCTAACACACTGGAATACAGAGTCAGGATCCAAAAAAATCTTGACTGGACTAAATCTAATGAGATGAAATTCAATAGGGACAAATATAAAGTCTTGGACTTAGTTTCAAAATATCAGTTTCACGAGTACACAAATATATCAACTTCATAAGATGGCAGAGGCAATGATTAGACAGCAGTTTGTCTAAAAAAAGATGTGGGTGGTTTAGAGAATGCAAATTCAATATGAGTCAGCAGTGTGAAGAAGTGGTTTAAAAAAGTAAGCGTGATTTTGGGACTACAGTAAAAGAGGTCTGTTGTTTAGTCTTTTTCAGTCATGTCCAATACTTGGTGACCCCATTTGGGGTTTTCTTGGCAAAGATGCTGGAGTAGTTTGCCATATTTCCCTTTCCAGCTCATTGTACAGATGAGGAAACTGAGGCAAACAGGGTTAAGTGATTTGGCCAGAGTCACACAGCTAGTAAGTGTCTGAGGCTGGATTTGAACCCAGGAAGACAAGTCTTTCTGACTCCAGACCCAGCATTCCATCCACTGTGCCACCTTAACTGCCCAAGAGAGGTCTCCCTTCCAGAAAAAATAAGGTAATAGAATAATAAGGTAATACTCTTTTGGAGTATTGTATGTAGTTCTGGGGGCCACAGAGTTGATAGATATTGATAAGCTGGAGAATGTCCAGAGGAGAGCCAGTAACATGGTGAAGGCACTCAAGTTGATGTCGCATGAGGATCGGTGGAAAGAAGTAAGGAAGTTTTGGGCAGCAAAGAGGAGATTCAAGAGGACATGACAGCTTTGACCCAGGATCTGAAGGGCTGTCACACATAAGAAGGGCCCCACTTGTCTTGTTTGGCACCAGAAGGCAGAATTTGGAGAAACAAGGAAGCTACAAAAAGAGGCCAATCAACGTTTGACGTCAGGGAAAACTTCTTAACAACGAGAGTTGTCCAAAAGTGGATGAGCTGCACTGAAGGGTGTACGTTCCCCCTCCTCATGGGTCATCAAGCAGAGAATGAAGACTTGGCAGCTTTATTACAGGGGAGATTCCTTTAGGATCTAGGTTAGACTAGGTGGCCGCTGGAGGCTCTTTTTAATATGTTTTTATCCCAAAGGAAAGGGAGAGCTGGAACAGCCCAAACCAGCTCATGAGGGCTAATTGTTAGTTTTCAATGCGAGTATTTACACCTCAGAAGTTGGCAAATGCTACAAATCAAGGCTTGATTTAGTATTTTGTTGATTTTCTAGACTTACGGAGGTGATAAAGAAAATGTTAATAATGCAGATTTAACTTCAAAGTGTGTTGTGTATACATTTTTTGCTGGTTGTCAAGCATTTATCAGCACATCCTTATCCGTAGGCCTCCCCAAATTGTCTAACACCATTAGCAAAGCTGAACTCTGACCATTGTTACATCAGGTTTGGCTACACCAAGAAAGAATTACCACCCGTTCAAAATGGGACAAAGGGCCAGGGGGAGAGAGAACTGGCCTCCAAGTCAGGAAGCCATGGGTTCAAGTCCTATGTATGACACATTTTGACTGACCTTTGATAGTTCAAGGCAACTCTATGACCTTCTTAAGTTGCAGAGTATCTATTTACTTACCAAAGGAAGTTTTCTCATCCAGGAATTCCCTGTAACAATTAAATCATAGGTCTAATCCCTTCCCTATCCCACAATGGCATGGTGACCTGTATTGGCAAGTTTAGCGCTTGTCCAGACCTATGAAATCATTTTTATACAATCATAGAAACAGTCAGGGATCATATCATATGTCAGAATACACTTAAGTGTGGTTTGTAACTACATAGCCCAGGCTCTTTACTACCCCACTTCTGGTTGGAAAAAGAAAACAACTTTGGACTAAATGAGAACTGCAAATAACAATAATTCTTTGGATAATGATCACATTCATTCAATAAATGTTTACTAAGCACATCACTATATGCAATGTCCTAGGGCAGGCCTTCAGGGAGACAAATCTGGTCCTAACAGGTCCTAAACCTTTGAAACTTATACTCTAACACAGAAGGTAGGAGATGTGCATAGACAAAGAGAAGAAAGTAAGTCACTGTCAAGTTCCTAGAAAGAAGCAAAAAACGATTTGCTCTCAATATGTACTAATATGGAAAAGGCTACCCAGTCTCACTCACATAAGTCAGGTCAACCACACCTATACACAGATATCGCAATTGTCTTCAGAAACAAATGACAACAGGACAGTAAAACCAATGGTTAGTGCTATGGCTTACCATGACATCTTTTCCCATCAGAAAGCAGGATGAACCCTTTGGGGCATGTGCAGTAATAGGATCCAGGGATGTTTTCACACCCAAGAGTGCACCCATGGTTCCAAAATGCACATTCATTGACATCTGACCAAAAAAAATTAAATTAAATCAATATCACATTTTGTACTTTATAATCAATTTATAGTTTTTGTTAATATATTAATAAATCATTAATATGAAATTAATTTGGTAATTTGCATTTAGGTACAATAACTTTCCATGGAAAAGAAGTTCTGTTGTATGAAATAAATGAAATAATCCAAAAAAACATGGAAATATTACACATTAGATCATATTTTCTCTTTTCAACTGTTAATTTAGTCTCAAAATCCCTCTTTGATACAGGTAACAAATTTCACCAAACTAAAGCAGTACGCTGTTTATGTAAATCTAGAAGCAGCTCCTTGGTGAGGCTGGGTTTTCAGTGGGTACTATAGGTTAGCAGTGACTCTTCTGATTCCAAGGTTTGAGAAGTTGTGTGGTGTCTGACAAGTATATGTACCCCATTAGTCTGTAACTGTGGTTATTTAAGAATGAAATTTAAATGTCATCTTCTCTTTCAAATTATGCAGATTATTTTTCAAATAGCTACTAGGTTGTTAAGATACAAATACTTGTTAAGTTGTTTGGATGCAACTACTTAATAAATGGAACTGTTAGATATTTCTTTTGGTTAAGGGATTCCATGAAAAAATTACTGAGACACAAAAGGCTCCGTAGACTGAGAAACTTTGGGAATCTCTGCTTAAGGTAATGGGGATATCCCCAATTCAACCTTTTCATTGCCTATCCTACTAACTTGAGCACTGTATTAACAGAGATTAGAAGCTTCCCTCTATGGCCAGTCACATTTACTATGCTACTATCACTGCAAACCTTACTGTGGCTTGGTCTGATATCCCAGATCTTATGTGTTTCTAATTCCTCACCCATCTCAGCCTGTCCTATGTCAAGTATTAAGAGGTCTGATCTAGGATTCCCTTGGAAGCCCCTCCCCAACTTAGTTCAGGAGCATCCTTCTGAGAGTGCACATCCTGAGATGCAACCACTAACCCGGTTCTCTTTCTCAGTAAATCACCTACAAACTCCTAGATATCATCTGTAGCATCCATCAACTTGAGTCTGGAACCTCAAGACTGGAGAAGACTCTGGAAAGCCCATAGGGACCCTATGAGTTCCTACAAGACCTTAGGGCTTCTCTATGTTTTTAGATTTTAAAAATAAGCCATCTCAGTTTCAAGATTGTTGTTCATCCTTCATTCTCAAAGAGGACCATGACATCAGGAAGGTGATGCCATGACTTGCAGGTGAGTTGGATTTAAGTGAGGGAGGGCTGTGCAAAGTCATCAGCCTCACTATCTCCTCCAGTGACATCTGGGTCCAGTGGCAAGATATAGATCAGGAAAACTGAAGATGGACCCCAAGTTTCAAGGTTACAGAAATAATAATAGCTAACATTTATATAGTGCTTTAAGGTTTGCAAAATGCTTTAGAAATATCTCATTTGATTTTATCCTCATGACATCCTCTGAGGTAGGTGTTATTCTCATTCTCATTTTTCAGATGAGGAAATTGAGGCTTAGAGAAATTAGATGACTTGCCTACCATCATACAGCTAGTAAGTATATGAAGCAGGATATGAATTCAGGTCTCCTTGATTCTGAATCTCTATCCATAACACCACTAAGCTATCTATGGGAATAGAAGAGACAAAATGTAACTGCTTTTAAAATCCCAAGTTTAAATTGGATTTAGATTGGTCTCAGGTTAGAGGTTCTTTGATGATCTCTGAATGAGAGAAAAACCCATCCAACCAGACTGCTTTGCCCTGTTACAGGTAAAGATTTGGCATATTACCTTTGCAATACCTCCCATCTTGGCTTAATGTGTAACCTTCTGCACATTTGCATCGATGCGACTTAGGGTCCTGTCCACACACATTGATCCTGCAGTCACCTTTCTTTAAGTTGCATGATTCCTGCTCTAAAAGAGAAGGATAGTTTATTAAGAATGAAGATGAGTTCTGACTTCATGCTTTATTCCTTCACAGTCCTTAAAGAGGTTAATCTCCCACTGACATCAATAGAAGCACTGCCTTCACAAACATTGACACACCTTTGCAATGTCCTGGATTCCTCTGAGTTCTAAAGTCCATTTGCTTCTCTGAGAGTAGAAAATAATATAACTTTCAGAAGGACAGAGAGGGAGACCTAGGTACCTGATTTCACCTGTTGTTGTTTAGTTTTTTGTTTTTGTTTTTGTTTTTGTTTTTGTTTTTTTTAAAGAAAGAAATAGTAGACATTTATATATCTTGGGTTCCCAAAGCACTTTTTACATATATTATCTCATTTAAACCTCACAATATCCTTATAATGTAGCTGCTATTATAATCACCCCCATTTTACAGATAAGAAAACTGAGGCTTAGGGACTTCATCATCACACAATTAGTAACAGAGGAAAGATAGAAAAGGTCTGTCTTCTGACTCCAAGTCCAGCAATCTTTCCACCACATTACCCTACCAGAGACACAACACCAATTCTTCCCTTATCACCTTCATCTGCTTTTATTTAGAAATAGGCACAAAACTGAACATCCTCGCTATATCACTAACATCTAATTTTGTGTTCAATTTAGCACAGATTTAACAAAGTCTAGTGCTTGGGTTATACAAAGCTGAAAAATGAAGTCTAAAACTCAAGTCTAAAACTATACAATCTAATGAAATAATATGTACAAAAATACATATAATATAGTCAATCTGATTCATACAGGCAAAAAAGATAGCAAAACTGGGAAGACTTGTATGAGCTGATGCAGAGTGTGAGCAAAACCAGGAGAACAACTTATACAATAACAACATTGTTGTAACAATAACAAGAGCTTTGAAATACTTAAGAACTCTGATCAACACAGTGACCAGCCACATTTCCAAAAGACCAATGATGAAGCCTGGTATCTACCTCCCAACAGAGAAGATGGACTCAAGATGCAGAATGAGATATACATTTTTTGGACATGGACAATTTGGGAATTTGTTTTGTTTGACTAAGCATAACTGTTTCATGGGGTTTGGTTTGGCTTTTTATTAGGATGGGGGGAGGTTAGAGGGAGAGGAAACAAATTGCTTATTAATTGGAAAAATGGGCAAAACATCTATCCTCAGTGGATAAAGCACTGACTTTGGAATCATGAAGACTTATCTTCATGAGTGCAAATCTAGCCTCAGACACTTACTAGTTACGTAAGCCTAAGCAACTTGCTTAAACCTGTTTGCCTCAGTTTCCTCATCTATAAAATGAGCTGGAGAAGGAAATGGCACACCACTCCAGTATCTTTGCCAAGAAAACTCCAAATGAGGTCACAAAGAGTCAGACATGACTTAAATGATTCAACAACAACAATTTTTTTCAAATGAAGGGCTTTTTTGAAAGCGGAGAGAAAACAGCTAGGGAGATAATGAAGATGACACCTTGGCCAGGAAGAAAGAGCCTTCAACAGCAGAGAACATAAGATCATGGAATCTAGAACTAGAAAGGAACTAATTGATTCATCTTATCAGCTCCTAATTTTATAAATGAGGAAATACAATTCATTCAACAAACCTTTATTAAGCTCTTACTATATGCCAGGTACTGTGGAAGACTCTTTACAAAGACAAAAATAAAAGTCTCTGCTTCAGTAGTTTATATTCCCTTAGAAGAATTCAGAATGCTCATAGGTAAGTAAATATATGGTAATTTCAGGATGGACAAAGCAGACAACTTGTATGAAGGAGAATAATAGAAACTAATAGTAGAAAGTTATGTGGGAGTTGGATTTCGGAGAATGCAATATGGAGACAATGAAGATTTTTGAGCAAGACAGTGATATGGCCTGATCTGTGACTAGTGAACAGTAATGTGGCAGCTGTGTGGAAGAAGGATTTGAGAGAGGAAAACCTGGAATCCAACATGGAGACCAATTAGAATGCGATGGCAATAGTCCAGGCAAAAGGTGATGGGGGCCCAAACTAAAATGATGGCTATGTGAGTAAAGAGAAGGGGACTGATGCAAGAGATATTGGGGAGACATATCCATCTATTTAAAAACTGAATAGGACAGGTGAGGAGAAGGAAAGTCAAGACTGACTCTTGGCTGTTAGTTTGGTTGGCTGGAAAAATAGTAGCACCCACAGCAGAAATAAGGAGAAGGGAGAGGCTTAGGGAGCAAGGTAATTAGTTCTATTTTAAATATGTGGGATTCAGAAGAGAGATTAGGGCTGGATATGCAGATTTTCTTTAAGTCATCTGCTTGGAGATGATCGTTGAAACCATAAAAGCTGTTGAGATCCCCAAGAGATAGACATGTCCCCATTCTTGGTGAATGGGAGATAGATAATGTATCAGTAAAGAAGACTGAGCACATTCAATAGGGTAGGGTAGTAGGCAGTGTTTAATGTTGCAGAAAGATGAGAAGAAAAACGATCAAGAGAAAATCATTAAGTTTAGAGCTTAAGAGATTATTGATAACCCAAGAGAGAACAATTTCTGTCATGCAATGGAAACCAAATTGCAAGAATTTGAGAAGTGAGTGGGAAGTAAGGAAATTGAAGCAATGAGCATAGATGACTTTCTCAGAATTTTGCTGTGAAATTTGCTGTGAAGATGAGATACTAAGGTTGACTGTAAATGATCAAAAGGGCAAATTTTCCAAAAAGATGGGAGAAAATGGGATCAGGAGCATAAGAGGAGAGGCTGACCCTGGCAAGAAGGACCACCATCTTTAGAGATGAGAGCAGAAGAGGGGAGAACAGGAAAAGATGATGAGATGATTTGAGGTGAAGAATTAGAAAGAAAAAGATCCTCACAATAGATGGACTCAATTTTCTCAGTAAGGTAGAAGGCCAAGTCTTTTGCAAGACAGAGGAGGAAAGGAGTAGTATAGGAGGAGCATAGGAAGAAAAGAGAAGGCTTGGAAAAATCACCATAAAGTGTGTAAAGGGAATCAATTAGGGAAGAATAAAAGAATTGCTATGTAGCAGCGAGATAAGTGCTTTTGAGATTAAATAACAAATTTGCAGTGGACAGAGAATTTATACTTTTCTCTAGCAACATTTAATGGCTAGGAGAAGGAGTGGAAAAGGTTGATGGTAAGGGTAACCCAGGGCTGTTTGGCAAGGCAGAAGCAGCAAGAGAACAAAACCATAAAGTATTCAAGGGTAAAGGATAGTGTATTATTGAACTGGTCAACCATAAGGTCAAGGCTGTGAAGTGAGGAAATGGAGCTCAAGGAATTTAAATAACTTGACCGAGTTACATGTCGTAAGTTATAGAAACAGGATTGAAACCTAGGTCATCTGACTCCTGCAGTCCATAGCTCTTGCAGTCCCTGCCCTACTGTAATATAAGGTCAAGAAGTAGCCAATAGTCCACAAAAAGTCACAAAACTAAGAATGTCATTTCTTAGGCATCATGTAAATGGTAGGAATTATGCTATATTTAACTTCGTTAAGGCCACTACTTTAAAGATATCATCTTTAAGACTTAAGAAATACTGTAGCCATATGTCTTATCCCTTAATTCCTAGGAGTTTCTTGCTGCAGGATGTCCCTGTGTTAGCAACGTATTTCAGGTAAAGGAGTAAAATCGGCTCACAGAGATGGCTTTTCAATTAAACAAATGCATGGTTGGGTTCTCTGTGTTTACCAAATTTATGGCACCAAAATTGCCCAATATTCTATCATTTCATTAACCTGGCCACAGAGTAAAATACCAAGCACCTGGATATCTATTTCCTGTTGTTGTTGTTGTTGTTGTTTGAGGTGGAGGAGATGCTCACAGATGGTATCTTGTGTTATTGCTCCACATTTATATACACAGGCTTACACGTGGTAAAGTGAGCTCCTCAAGGGCAGGAAGTATTCCACTTCTGTCTTTGTATGCCCAGTGCAAAGAACAGTGCCTGGCACATGTAAGGGACTCAATAAATGCTTGTTTATTGATTGCAATGATAAGGGTAAAAACACTAAGGCAGACAGTAGTTTCTGCCAGGATCCAACCAATCCTGGTCAAGCCCAAGCAATTCAGGTCTCAGTAGAGTGGTCCTGCAGAAAACCATTTTCAAACATAATTCAGTTGATGTCCAGAGAAGTGGGATTGGTATAGCAAATGGAGTTGAGAGAGATATATTAGAACAAAGGTCCTGACTGGCAGAAAGACTAAGTTTCAGGAATGAAGTCTAGGGGATACTACATTTAAAATTTCCTGAAGACAATGCAGCCATCTCTCCTGCTCCTCTTTAATCCTGTGACTAATTAATGTATAGCCCAGTTGTACTATCTGTCCAGGACGTATGTGTATGCAGGTGTGTAGACTGATGAAGGAGCTCATTGTAATAATTTTATCTATCATTCAATATCACAAGAAAAAGTCAACTTTATCAAGGATGACCTTGATATGTGTGTAGATTCTTCTCCTAAAAAATGTTTATATAGATGGGAAAGGAGGCATTTAGGTCAATAATTGCAGATTTGGGGATGGAGAGGGTATTAATAAGTTATGAAATTGTTATTGATGCCTTTTAATATCTTCCCTTCCTTCAAGTGCCTGGTGAATTAATCCCTCAACTTCCTCACAATTATATCACCTCCAGCATAGGCCACCTCTTTTAATTATTAATTAATTGTATTAATACTGCTATTTTCCCCATCTTTGTTCTTTTTTTGCAAAACTACTCTATAAGGTCATTCCCAGGTCTCTGTTTGTCTGAAGCAACACCCATTCAATGACTAAGTCATGATGACACTGGAGGAGAGAGTAAGACTGAGGACTTTGTGCAGCTCCGCCTCACGCAAATCCAATTCATGGGCAACTCAAGATATCACCCTCATGATGTCATTGGTCTTTGAGAACAAAGGACATACAACAGCCACAACGACTCCCCTATAAGCACATTTGGGGCTACAACATGAGTTTGCATATAGTAGCTCTACTATCTTTAAG